CGATATTTAACTTCGTACAATTACTATATTGTGGCATGCAAAATCTCGCATAGCCAAATTGACGGCATTAGTCAACGTCACTCCTGATGGTGGCGCCCGTGTTTCTATGGGCGAATTCACAATGGCTGACGTTCCATGTTCCATTTCAATTTTTTCTTTTTATAAATTAGTCGCCCAGCCCTTGGTAACGATTCAGTCAAAATTAGTCATCCAGCCCTCTTTACACACTTCTATGTACCTGTAGAGAAAGGCTTCATCCCAGCGACTCACAAAGGAAGGCTTGTGGAAGCGCCGGACGAGGGATTGTGGAAGACACTTCATCGGCGGATTTTAGAGGTACGTATTTCCGGACGGTGGCATTCTCATTTCTTGCAAATGAACAAATAAAAAAAGGTTCACGGTTATTTTGCAAGGGCAAAGTTTAGTGTTTTTTTTAGTTCGATAGATTGTGGTTTGTCTGATTTTTTTGATTTCTGGCTTTATGGTTTTTGAATTACGCGGATATGATATTGTACATATCAAAAGGAAACAAGGGAAACACGATTCCAAGGTAAGGGCCCTGTAACATATATTTGGAAATTATGGCTTGTATATTAAGTAATGATCTTTGATTTTGGGAATCAGTTTATGTGAAAGGTTAAAATCAGAAGGCCTTTACAGGATATTCTTGTTTATTGGCTCATATTTATTTGTGTCCATATTTTTAACAAAATTAAGCTTCTGTCTATTCTGAAGTTGGAGTGTGTAAGTTGCCCTACTATGTATATGTTATTTGAAACTTGAAACAACATTGTAGGGTATGATTCATGAATAGTGTATTTTTCATACCTGTGACATTCCGGATGAAATCAGTAAAGATGAACAGGAGACAGGACCGGGGTACATGTATTTATCTTCAAAATGTGGCTTTCTGTTCGGGTTGTTGCTTGAATAGTAACATTTTAATTTAATAACTACTTATCTTTTTTTTTTTTAGATTTGAAGATGTCACAGACTTCAAGCAATGCCAAATTTGGAGGACCAAGTCAAGTAAAGTATCAAGAAAAAATATGCGACCATTGTGGAATGAAACTTGCAATTCGGATAGTTGGCTCCGAAGTCCGAATTATCAGAAACTCTATTACCATTGTGAGAGAGCTGGGTTTATGGGTTGGGCAAATCCAATAAATGAAGACGAAGTCTGCATACAACGAGAAGTTAACATGACCGACAAAGTTGTAGTTAATCGTGAACTGTTAAACAGGTGTACTTTAGTATTTTGTATTGCAGCGGGAGAAATACTGAAGAGATAATAATGTTCTTTATGTTTCATATGAAATGGTTGACTATGACCATACAAACAGACAACATCCTTATGTGTGGCGTGAATAAAAGAATTGTTAAGTACGTACTCATGGGAACCCGAACATGTACATTGCTTTAAGGGAAAAGTCATCTCGAACAGTTTATAAAAGTCTCATTATCTGTTTCACAATAAATAAGAAGACGCAAGTTCTACAACAGATAAGAATACGCAAGTTCCAGATCAATGTTACACATCCGCATACATAACATAAAAATAATACGAAAACAGTCCACAATTCAGAAATAAGAGATAAACAGATACCCGACCACGTACAAAATAACAAAAACATGTGGATTTTCTTTGACTACAGAGACCCACTCGATATTTGATGCACCATCGACCTCTCTGCATCATCGTCCAGGCTGAAAAAAAAGTTCCATCTTGTCAACATTATTGCTTAAGTACAGCGCAACGCCTACCCTTTGATCCACTGTTAAGTTAGGCATGTTTTTCAGTGCATCATATACAACGATTCGCTACTCTTTGGCATCCACGTGGTAACCAACACGTGTAGATAGTTCCGAGAGACGGTCGTTTGTCTCATGGAAAACAGATGAAAGTAACCCTATTATTTTATCCTCCACCTCAACAGGACGTTTTCTTTATCCATCACGCTTAGACTTACCGGAAGCACTACTCTCACCTGCTTGAGCCGAAAAAGAGTCAAAGTTAATCTGAGGGTAATCACATTGTTCCGGGACTGCGTCTTCAGTGAGGATAGGGCTACGTACTTCCACGTTAGTATCATGTAAGACATCATTCACCGCGTCTGTGAAACCAACTTCCCCCTCTCCAGTTGCTCTGTCCTTCCCAAAAATTTCTTCCAAATCCGGATAATAGGGCCAAGATTTATGACACATTGATTTGGCCTTTGGGTGAGCCTAAAAGAATAATTTTTCTGTTGAATAATGATATTGCTCCTTTTAACTTAGTATTACTATAAATTTCATGTGTAATGACATGTGTAAATGTATTTAATACCGTGATGTAGCCTTGCCACACGTCCTCATCCCTCACAGTAATCATTTTCCCCGTATGATTCCAGCCGAACCCCGAAATAGCAAGCATGTCCGAAAGTACACCATATTTTTTTTTTCAAAACTGTAATCTTTGATGATATGTGAGGTTCGCCTTTTATATTAGTACCCGGGAATATCTGCCGCATATGTTGTTCCAATATGATGGTGTAACCATTGCAAAATCTGTTGTCACATTTCCACCCGCGCGTGACAAGATCCCGCAAAAGATTAAGCAATGCATTTTCCTCAGCCGCATTCCAAACTCGACGTTTTCCATTGGGCTGGGAATTGCATCCCCCCACTGCCACTGGATTCCATGCGTAACTAATGACCAAAGACATAAACCAACAATGGTAAGGTTAAAGGTTTCAACAACTAAAAAACAATATATTATACCATAGAAGTAGGAAAAATTTGAAAGAGGAATATGTATTTTTTTTGTAAGACACAATGAAAGTGAAATAACCAGTATTAACAGTAATCACACATTTCAAACAATCGTTAACATAACCAGTTTTCCAACCAACAAATACCAAACGTGAAGATATATGTTTTTTGGTACACAGATAAAAAAGAAAACATTGTCTTCTTATGGCCCTCAGTGTAAGATGTAATGTTCAACTACGGTCGTCCCGTTCATTAAACATACACATGGCCAAAGCTTCCCGCATATTTGTCCATTCGGTGCTTGACTCAACAACGTCAACATAGTCTAAAGGGTTATGTGCCTCAGGGTTTGTCTGATGATTCATCATATTGTCACCCTCATTTTCTATTGGGTCCACATGCATGGTCATACGGATAAAGTTTTGAAGAAGGCAACAAGCAAGTATAGTTTTATTCTAAGTGCGTTTGTCGAAATAAGTTTTGCTCCTAAGGACAGCCCAACGCATCTTCAATACTCCAAAAGCTCGCTCAAATTATATTCTGCGCTCTGGCATGTCTTAAGTTAAACAGCTCTCTATGGTCTCTAGGTAATCTGTTACCTTCACCAAACTCATCTAAATGATACCGCACACCTCTATACGGAGCCAAGAAACTAAGACCATTTGTGTATATGCATCACATAGGTAATAGTTCCCTGTATATGAGAAATATATTAGACAATCCCTAAAAATATGAAAAAAATGAGAAATATGAAATTACTGTTAAATAGACAAAATTGGATAATTAACAAACATTGTATATATATTTTTATGTAATTTTGTAACACTTACCTGTTGGTATACAAAGGCCCCATGGTCGATGAACGGCATCTCGTAAAACCCTACTGTCAGCTGCAGAACCTTTCCAACCGGTCAGTACGTAAGACAAATTCATTTCTTGCGTGCAAACACCAAGCACATTAGCAGAAACAACAGTTTTTCTATTGCGATATCGTGCTTGTATACGTGCAGAAACACGAACAGGAACATAGCTTCCATCCAAGGCTCCTAAGCACCCCTGTGATTATTCCACATGAAAAACCAGTTTTAACAATTAATACGTATGTCAGTAAATATTTTTGTTGGATTGTTTTTCCCCACCTGAAACCATCTCCAATCTCCAATCGGTGCATGAATCGGTCACTGTAGTGCTTTGGGCAAGAAGGATGTGATGCAAACGCAGGACAACACGTAGTACATCATGAAAGAATTTACTTATCGTTTGACCGAATCGCTTGAAATCAAATTTCACAACACGATTTTTTTATGGTGAGCTAGCACACTAAGAAACATTGCTACTTGCTCAGTCATGTGTATATTTCGTGTGTTCTTAAGCCCACCAACATGTTCCAACAAGTAGCATAACCGGGTGAAGGTATTTCGATCCATGCGAAGTTGTCCAATGCATGTCGTGTCACTTATTTCTATCAACACTTTCATGTGTTCAATTTGCAAGGGAAGACGGTCTGACACACAATAGGATACATTTCTGGACCGATGTCTACGTCTACGATTTTGTCTAGGTTGAACCAACTTAATGTAAAGGTAGAAAATGATAAAAAACAAATTACGTAGATCAATTATCTCCTCCACGAGCAAAAGCACTACCGCCTCTTCGGAATCTATGTCCATGATTAAGCTGATGATCTAAACAACAATATGTACTTAGCCATGTAAACGATGAATGCAAATGCAAACATTTGGTATACATTGTCACTGTAAGTGTAAATTCAAAGGGATCCAACTATATCTCGTAAAAAATAAGAAAATATTAATCTTCAGTAGACTCAGGTTTTCCAAAATGAAAGGCATATCAAAGAATTATACAGAACTTACTTGCAAATCAAATCATTTACGAAAATCGTATGGCATTTAATGACACATACAACAATTTGGAAACTCCATAGCAGATACGTGTTATTACCTGTGTCGATCGACGATTACTATTAAGGTCTGTTTCTCCTTTGCCTGAAAGATCACCGGACTAAACACACTCCTAATATACATGGACCCCAAAAAGTTAATAAATTAGGGTTTTATGCAACAACTTATTATCGAAATCAGGGGAAAAGATTAGTCCCACACAACAAAATTGCCCGTGTTCCTGTTTTACAAAGTATTGTAAAGCACACTTACCGTGACCTCGAAGATGGAAGCGTGATTTTTGCATTAGTTGAATACCTCGCCATAGATCTACTTTTAAAATGTGTTAGGGCAAAAGAGACGATGCCACAGATCTACTTATCACTGGCAGGATGTAATTGTTCGGTCTTCTGAGGTTATTTTTGTCCAAAATGTCAAAAATTAGGGTAAAAATGACTGTTAATTTTATGTGTACTATTAAGATGGAAAAAATTTGTTGTCCGATAGGGGATTATTTAATACCCCATATGCAAGATTACTCTATTTTAATCTTGGGCCCTGCCTAATCATACGGGCCACAATCTTGGAAAGCAAACGCCGGGTAACGTCAGGACTAGGAGCTTAATCCTATCCAGTCTTCCCTTTCAAACATGGCCTGAGAAGAGAAGAGAATCCCACACAATATACACGCTTTGTGTCCGCCATCTCTCTCTCTCTCTCTATCAATTCTCATTCAAGCTTTATCTTCTTCTTGTTGCTCCTCTGATACTGTTGAAGAAGGGTGTTTGAGATATACAGTAGAAGATCCCGTAGTTTATTGAGATACATATATTTAATCAACCCCGTGACCAATCGAGTCGACGACCGCGACCAGCCAGCCAGCCGGGCTGACCGCCTCCAGCCGAGGACTGCTGCCAGCTCCCGCCAAGACGTGACCGTGACGCGCGACCAGCTCGAAGACCCGATCGCGACAGGCCCAACAGCCCCGCAAAGCCCGGCGATCTGGCCCGCTTC